CCAGATATGGCGGACTGGAATGGTCACTTGAGGCACTAGGGGCAAGTTAGCAGTGCAGTATGCTGACTTTTATTCACTTGCCCACACGCTCCAAAATATCACACATATTATGGTACTATAAACTTTTCGACTCTCCATTATCCATTCTGAACATGCTTGTTGATGACGAAGAGTACTGCGGTAGAATATATACACCTCGATCACACACGTAGTGTTCACAGACTGCTACGAACACTGAAGCAGTAGGCCAACGAGTTTTAACTACCAGAATTTAGAGTAGGAGAACGATTTTCTTCCTAAGATCTCGACTGAAAGTTTTGGAAGCATCGTCCGTATTGGTCCCCACAGAAATCACGCAAAAAACGTGCCATCCACCATTGAACATGGAATGGCAGCTCATCAGCAGAAGGATGAAAGCGTGATGGGACCACATTCGATGAATTATTCCAAGAGACGAAAATAATTTTAATTTTTGCAGCTGGACGGTTAGACTCTGCTACGTCTGACCTGTTGTTGTCTAAATATGTGGTTATAGCGTCGTTCTTTGAAATTGGGGGACCACATTCTTGATCTTTCATGTTTAAAGACAGTTCTTTGAAATAGCAGTTCTTGTTGCAACCAAATTTTTCTATTGCTAAGTCACTGTGGTACACAGGCGGTAATTTTTTGAACTGGCTTGGATGTTATTCTCAATTCTTTCAGGGCTTATTGAACTGCTAATTTCTCTGTTTGTTATTTCTTGGTCAATGACTCCTGACACTTGGCAGATGCACGGAAGGTTTTAAAGTTCCAGAAGGTTTTTTGGTTGACTATACCAGTTGTTTCATCTAATAGAATTTGTTCTTCCTTCATCACTGATTTCAGATAGAATATAAACGTTTAAACGCTTTCCTGTGGTCCGGGTTTTTGGCAGTTCGTTTGTTTCGCTTCTTCGCTTTGTCACTTTTTCCTGGCATCCACTACTTTCCAGTGTTTCATAAATTTTGCAAACTGGCATATTTTTATATCGTAGCATGAGGTTCCTTTTCAATCTGATATATGGTCTAAATTTGCTACTCTCCTATCATCCTATGATGCATTGTAGATGCGCGAATAACTCATTCAAGACGAGGTTTGACAACGTATTGTGCCGCCCGTTTTCTCCTGGGTATCTAAGGGCGCTATTTAAGCCACGGCTAAGGGACAGGAGTATCCCTGAAACGAAGCTTCGTAAGCCGTTCTTCAAGCAGGGAAACATAAATGACGGAAAAATTAGTCGGAATGATTGGTC